ATGGTGGAGGAGGTTAGCAGGGTCTGCAGAATACAACCGATGTGCAAAAGTGGCCAGATGACGCACCATCGCCTCAGAAGCCGTCAACTTATTCTGCAAGGAGGAGAGCGAGGGTAGATCCACCTCATACAGCCCCTCATCCTCAGGATATTTGTGAATAAGCTCCTCAGCGACATGAGCCCGTGCCCAATAACGATGGACGGTTTCTTCGAGGTCCTCCAGACCGTCCCGTAAACGTATAGCACGCGCGTTAGCAGCATCCAGCTCCTCATGGGCCTCAAAAGAACGCTTCTGTTCCTTGTCGACCTGTTCTTGAAGCTCCGAAATTTCCTGCTTCTGCCTTATGGCCACTTCCCTATAGGAGTCTACCTGCGCAACCGCAAGATGAAACCTTGTAAGCGCATCCTGGGGTCAAGAGTTACCAGTCAGTAGAAAGTAAAAAGGAAGGAGGGGAACGACTTCTACCTCCAAGGGAGCTTCCGGCAGTTCAGCTTCAATGGCCCTAAACTGAGCCAGAACACGGGAGTACTCCAGGCGATCTGCTGCGACATCTTGCAGGGCACGACGACTCGCCTCTAGGTCCTTGTTACGATCGTCCAAAGAAGTCGTAGTGTCCCGAAGGAGGGAGGTAAGTGTTGAAGTTTCAGCTCGGGAAGTCTCCAGAAGCTTGCGGAGGTCTGCTACTTCAGCCCGTAGAGTTTCATTTTCAGCCCTTAAAGCAGCAGTAGCTCGAGCTCGGGGAAAAGGATGGAGAACATCGGGGGAACACTGGGGTACAGGCATAAGACATAAGTTACGATCCGAAAATAGGAAGGAAGGGAACTCACCTGAGAAGGAGGAGGAGTTTTTATGGTCACCACTGACCGACGTTCCGACAGCACCGGGGTAATAAACTGGTTCGACAAACCAGGCGAATTGGATCTTTGGCGAACCGGGAGACCGGAGGAGCGACCCTGAGATAGTAAAGGAGGAGCTCCTGTGCTCCCTGTTTCCCCCAAAGGAGGAGAGGAGTGCACGACCTCCTCGACACGACCACCAGACAAAGGGGCCAAACCAGAGGTATCGACAAGGGGGGCCGAAGAACCAGCACCACCCTACGGTAGTCTGGGACCTCAGCATCCCGACTCTCCCTAGCAGAACATTTACGTTTGCGGTCGTGGACCTCGGGAGATACCTCAAACTCCGGAGCTGCTCCAACGGGACGCTTGCGGGAGGAAGGACCTCCCTCCTCCTGCCGGACAGACCTTTTTCTCTTTTTCGCCAATGCGCGTGGAGTCGACACGACGGAAGGAAGTGGGGAAGGCAAGGAGCTGGTGGTTAAAGGTCGAGGAAGTTGAGGCTGCTGGCGACGGAACTCTCCGAGCTCCAAACGATCCAGCTCCCGCTGATCTTGCTCGTCCAATGCATTTAGCTCCATCAAGGCGACAGTGGAATTCGTACTGGCCTTGACCTTTGCCGCAATGTCCCTCCACTGCTCGGAAGGGAGAGCAAAATGGGTTCGCTGACCCGGGTCCCCATGCACCTCCAAAAACCTTCGAGCAAACGCTAAATCGCGAGAACACTTACGCGAAAAATAACGGAAACGAGCAAGCCTACCCAGAATGCAGGGTTTCTTATCGTCGCAGTTACTACAACGAGCAAGGTGGGGAACGACAGAACAATTTGCCTCCTTCTTGCCCCTAACACAGAAGGAGCAAGGGAGACCGGCAGCTGCTAGCAATGGCCAAAGGGGATTGTCGACGATATACCTTGCCAACAACACACCTACGCCGAAAACAGACCTAAATAGTGCCAGCTGACCTAGAGGGGGCTCCTCAAGGGTGCTAGCCAGCTCATCGATAGCAGCATCCACAATTCTTTCCGCGGAATCGGGGTGGGGTGGAGAAGACACTGGTGGCAAGACAGGGTTGGGAGCTCCGGTAACAGCGTTGGAAGAAGGAGAGCTCATAGTAATCGAGTTTAACTCAGAGAACGATGAAGAAATGCTGAAAGGAACAAGGAACAACGGGGAACGAACTTATAAATGGAAAAAGTCGAGTCACGTGGAAAGCACATGACGGCAACAGGAACCTCCTCGGAGGCTCGGAGGAGTAGAGGGGGGGGTAATGTCATGCCTCACCCCGAATTCCTTAACCCATAAGCTCTTTAACATAGTTCCCGACCTCCTCAGACCCCTTCCATGAATCCCTGAGAACACTTCCAACGTCCCACAGACCTCCTTACTGCTAGAACCACCTCCACGACCCTTAGCTCCCCTCCATTCAACCAAATCACTCCACGACAGGGTCCTGGAACCCCATACATGCGCCCATCATTTCATCCTCATGTACTTAGGAACCCCATTAAGTGCTTGTTTCATACCATGTCTCCTTGTTAACTTCCCCATATGTATTTAAGCAGTCCAGTAGCGTCCAGAAGCCCAGCTTGGTATATTTTGAACACACACCCTTTACATAGGTCCAGTCCCTGTCTCTTTGTACCTGCTACCTATATGGAATTCTCTTTACTCTCTGTTTCACTACCTCTGTTTCTCTTTACTCTCTGTTTCACTACCTCTGTTTCTCTTTACTCTCATCTATCGTCTCTCTGATCATCTATACGATTGAATATACGCTTTTACTTCAAGTCTAAGCCTTCCGAGTGAGTCCCCAAGCTTCCTCGAACATTACTAAAGCTCCCCAACGCCTACACGCTTTGGTGAGCTACCCTTCCCCAAACCTCCCAGAGCTCCCTAGCTACTTCGTAAGCTTCGGGACCTCGATCTAGGTAATGTTGAAGCTACCCCTCACGTCGAACTACGTACCGCTTCTCCGTTACCACCTCCCACACTCGAGGACGTCCATCCTCAAGCCCAGCCCCCAGGGACCTACCCTCCCTGGCATATCCCTTCTCGGGAGCTTACACCCTCGAGACCCATTTACATATACGACCTACTCAATCCTATATTGACGTTCTAGCGAGTACAACTCCTACTACGCAATATCTTACGTTCCCGCACTCGTCCCGAACCTCCCTACGCATTAGGGACCTCCCTGGACCTCCTAGGAACCCCCTCAAGGATCATCATCTCGTCATTCCAGCCACTACTAGGTCATTCCCGTCCTTGGTCGCGGTTCTCGTAGCTCCCTTCGAGCTCCAGCCTGCTCCTAGCACGCTACAACATAAACCTCCATATACCAAAACCTACCCTAAGACCTATTTTGACCCAGGTCTTACATCAATGTGTTACAGACTGTATGTATTGGTAATATGTCCCTTGTTTCATTCCAGGTAAGTAATACAACTGTTACAACAGATTCATTAACTCTCAGATTGACCTTACACATCAAATTTCCCTGTGCTCTCCCACTGCTCTTTTTGCCTAGCTAAACCTCCTTCACAAATGTGCACAAGCTTGCAAGCCCATATATAGGCAATGGAGAGAGAAACTACATGAGTTCCTTGCCTCTCTTTCTCATATTTTATATATATGCAATCTGGGCAAAATCTGGGTGGCAGCTGCAACCCAACATTTGATTTTCTCTCTATTTTTCCTTCCAATATATATATATATTCCACACATTGGGTTCAGAAGACATCAGCTGTGGTATTCTATGGCTTATTCAGCTATGGTACTCTGTGTTGTTGCTGCTCTTGCCTTTCCTTGCTGAACTGGGGCAGGAGGAGAAGGCACAAGCATTGAACAACAAAATTGTTTTGCTCCCACCACTGTTGATTGCCCGCTCATTCTTTGGAGTGCATGGGGGTTGATGGAATGACAGGTCCCTGATGGGGACACTGCATTAGATCACATGTTCTGTTATGAGATGTGACCTGCATGGTTTTTCTCTTTGGTCTCAATTGCAGTTCATACAAAATTAATTTCCTTTTATGGTGGGAGTTTCTCCTTATTTGGACAAAAGTAACATTGAGTTGAAATGTATTGATTTCTTGTGAAGGATATCATGGGACTGTGACTCTGTCACAATTATTTTTTCTCATCTCACAGCATCTCACTCAGTTACTCCCTGTTACTCCATAGATACTGTAGTTTATGTAAATTTGCTTTTATTTGTTTTTATTTTCTTCTCAAAAAACATTTTTTTGATTCCATAATATATAACAACCCCCAAGAAAGGAGCTGAGTTCCCGCCATGCACAGTGGTGCAGTGGCCTGCAATTGCATGTATATGATCATCATGTACTTAGTAGTGACTCTTCCAGTCCTGAATAAGATAGCTTTCCTGGCAAGTGGTATCTAAGTTTGGACAAATTTAAGCATGGAGTGGTTGTCGTAGTGGTATGTTATGCTTGTAGCACATTGAAGTAATAGGTGTTTGAGTGCCAGGTTTCAATCCCCAAGTAAAACACTCTTTATGTGTCACTTATGATTTTAACAAGATTGGCCCCATTGCAGCATCCCGATGCAGCCCGACACAAGATTTGCGATGAAGCAATTTCAACTTATCTGCAAAACCTGTATTTTTGGCTAAGGGTCCGAAAGCAGTTGGGAGCACTTCCCAGCAGTGAAAGCACTCAGAGCATACTGCTTTCAGTGCTTTCAGCACTGGGATCTGCTGGGATCTGCTCTCAGACCTTAGCCGAATATCCAGGTTTTGCAGATGTCAAAGTTGCGCAATTGTAGACAATGATGATTAGATTTTGCAAATTGCCCATAGCTTACTCTGTTTATCTACGTTGTTCTTTGCTACCAGTCATCTGCACAAGGAAGAGACAGAAAGGCATTCCTTAAAATCCAACTAAAACATGAAATCAAGCCATTTTGAGTGATTCATAACTACTAGGCTCTGGGGAATGTTCGAAGTTTGGACATTTTGGAGCCTCCAGGCCCCAAACCGGTTCGGACATTTCACCCATGATTTGAGATTTTGGCGAACGACTTTTAGGTGAAACATCCGGGGTCCTCATACTGGACAGTGAACTCAGTGCGTGCAGGTCAGGCACGCTAAGCGCTCAAACCCGTGGGATTCTAGCCTGGATGAAAATTGCGTAACGCCCGCGTTTTGCTTTCGCAACCTTTACAGCCTTTCTTGGCCGCTGTTACCCTCGTTCATCTGCTTAGATTTCTTTCTTCTTTTAGTCGATATATCCATATTTCATGTGAGTATCTGTAGTCCGCTTTTTGTGGAAATTAATATTTGACCAAGCACCTCAGCATGACAAGCAACGGGACCCCACACCGCAGCGCCATTCCTTCAGAAGTTGGTTGGCAATTTGTACCTCAATACTATAATTTTGTAAACAAAGAACCCGAGCGCCTCCATTGTTTCTACAACAAACGGTCTACTTTCATTCATGGGTCAGAAGGTGAAGACAGTAAAACTTGCCACGGTCAACAGGTGACATATTGTCGTTTGTCGTTCTCAAAGTCCTCATCTAACCCTTGTCAGGAAATCCATGCGCAAATTTCTTCTCTCAACTTCCAGGACTGCAAAATCTTCATTAATTCGGTAGATGCTCAATCGTCGGCCGATGGCGGTATCATCATCCAGGTTATCGGCGAATTATCCAACAACAATGGCCCGTGGCAAAAATTTGTTCAAACTTTTTTCCTGGCTGAACAGCCCAACGGTTACTTTGTTTTGAATGACATCTTCCGATTTTTGAAAGAGGACGCTGTAGAGGGTGACTCGGACGAGGTCGCGTCCGACTCTGTATCAGCTCCTGAGCCTGTCGCTGTTCCTGCGGAATATCCTCGGGAGCCTTCTCCGCCTCCGTCTCCACCAGTGGAAGTCGTTGACGCGACTGCTGCTCCGGTCGAAGAGCCACCTGTAACCGTTGCTGAGATCGCTGAGCCTGAGCCTCTTCCGGCACCTGTTCCTGATGAGCTCACTGCTACTCATCTCAATGGGTATGAGGTCGAAAAGCCTGCAACTCCTGCTCCCGTGTCCAGAACCCCTACTCCAGAGCCTACTCCTGATGTTGCACCGACACCACCACCTGCAGCAGCAGTCATCGCTCCATCGCCATCTCCCACTCCTGCTCCTGCTGCCTCTGCAACTACCTCCGCACCTCCTGCGCCAGCTGCAGCTCCAGTTCCCAAAACATGGGCAAACCTCGCTGCTTCCAACACAAAGAAGTGGGGCAACGCTGTTGCTCATGACTCCCGAGGTTCCTCGGAGAATGTTTCTAGTTCCCCAGCTGTTGCCAGTACCAGTGGTTCACAAACGCCGGTCAAGCCTTCAGGTGCTCCCAGCAGAACACCGCATCCAGCTTATGCCGCTGCTCAAAGTGTGACAACTGCACAATGTTTCATCAAGGTATATGTCTTATCCTTCAATATTTGTAGCCATTCGTAGCTAGCATTGTGTCTGTTTCTTCATTTTTGCCGCTGTTACTCTGATTTATTCCACCTCTGACCTTCCTCATTCATAAACTCAGAGCGTAACGGAACCAATTTCTTCGCAAGCACTCACACAAGCGCTTACGCGCTTCGGGCCCCTCAAGGGCACTGTCGAAATCGTTCGGTACAAAGCTTGCGCCTTCGCGGAATTTACTACAGTTGATGCTGCCAGGCGTGCTATAATCTTGTCACTTCCTCCCGTTGCTGGCGGAGAGGGTGGTGTCAAGGTTGACATTGGCGGTGGTGAAACCTTGAAAATCATCGTGGAGACTAAAAAAGAGAGGGGCGATAGGCCAGCCAGCCGTGGTCGTGGCGGTCCACCATTTGCGGGTGAAGGACGTGGTGCGAGTTCTTCGGATGGTCGCGGCGGTGGATTCAGAGGTTCAGCGAGAGGTTCAGGACGAGGTAGAGGTGCGAAGTAGGTCTTTCTTTTGATTGTGTAGGATATGCTTATGGGATCGAACGGTCTCATTTGTTCCGTGGTCGGCATCAAAAAGATTTACTTGCACTAAGAAAAATCATTGTGACTTCCAAAATTCGAATTTGAATCTTTTGCATTCCTCATTTGTTTCTTGTTCTGGAACTTGCTGTCATCCTGGCTCCTTTTCCTGCTATTGCCTCCTGCTCGCCATCCTTTCTCTTGCTTTATGCTTCGTGTTTTCGCCATGGTCGTTTGTCTGCACAATCTCGCATACCTTTCGCTTTCATTAAAATACATCTTCATGCCATCCTCTTATGCATCATGACTAATCATGTCTTGTTATCCGCAAACCAATGTAGCCCGAGCCAATGTTTATATTCTTCTACATACACATGCTCAAGTTCAAGTTCCTGTCGTTTCTGAGTTGTGGTGACTGTAACTGATGTATACGTAATCAACATGTGGACCAATTTCGACTGATCATGAAGCGAGATGACATTCAATAATACTTGTACATGTATGTTTCCGTGATACCATTCATACAGCATGAAATTTGCAAAGTAAATTCTGTTCCGTAAATCCAGTACGCTGAAAGCATATTGATAGCTCCTCGCAGATACCTTCAGCAAACCCAGGTACCTATATCTTTTCAAATTCATCTCGGCCAAGTTGCAAGTTCATTCTTCACTAGACACCGGAGTGGAAAAGGGCATACATGTATTTCCATATTCCTGCCTTCCTTGATGTGGACTCACGCGCATGTTAGCGACTACCGAGGTCTCAAGAAGAAGATTCATAAAGAAACGAGTCGAACCAGCTCTGATTCCAGATTACAACTCCCTCAAGAACCTGAAAATATTTCTGACGAACTTGGAGATGATATTCTGTCCACATCGCGCTTTCGCCATGATGCTGGAATGGGCCTTGGTGAACTTCCGGTGCGGAGGAAATCATTTTCCACCAGAAACACGGCATCACAGACCTCTCTGCCTGAAGCCCATCAGTCCGCTCATCAAAGATCGTCGTCAAACCAGCTGAGTCGGACAATGAGCGGGACAAAGAAACCGAAGAGCCAAAAGAGTAAAGGACTACTGGCTCGAGGTACGCCGTAATTATTTGTTTGAATTTTGGTCTTGTCTTCTGACGAACTTTCAAAGCTAATACTACACTTCGAAGTCCACCACATCCATTCTCAGGGTCGATACCTCTACATGACCTTTTACCACTCCTGTCACCGCAGGAGACGAGCTTCATTGATGCATTGGATAAAGAGCTGGATAAGATTGAAGATTTCTATGACGCTCGGAAAAAGGAAATGGAGACGAGGTCAAAGCTTTTAGAAGCTCAGTTGATTGAGCTGAATGTTCATCAGCAACGATTCAATGTCGGAGCCATTTTGAATGCATTGTTTCCGCCATTCTTACGTGACTTCTACAGGAAGCCCAAGCTGGAAGTAGTCGATGGAACATCATGCTTCAGTATGTTACGAGATACAAGGCACCTAAACTCGACATACTCGACCATCTCAGTTCGAAGAAAACCCATGAGATTGAGGGAAACCTTCCTAATATTGACAGTGGACATTTGCCATCGAGCAAACGTAATTCTCTGCATCACCATTTGGATCCTGAAGAATATCAAACCGCCAAAAAGAAATTAAACAAGGCAGTCTTTGAGCACTACCGGTGAGTACCCATTTTGCATTACAATCACGTTCTTTGACACTTCTACTTTCAGCGGCCTGGAAATGCTTCAAAATTATAGAGTGGGAATCTTAGCTTTGTACTCTAACTCAACAGAATTTAAAGTTCGATTTCATGCAGATTTTGAACATTACGGGCTTCAGAAAGGCGTTAAAGAAGTTTGAGAAGGTCACTAGGGTAAAGGATCGAAGCCTCTCCGTGTATGATCTTCCTGAATTCTGATTTCCACCCAGATTCCAGTCCAACATGCGTATATGGCTGAACGTGTATGTCTTGTGGGAATCTATGAACAATCTTTTGATCAAGGTTTCCCAGGTTGAGACCAGCGCTTTCGCTTCAGACAAGACACTTCGCGCTATGATGGATGAAATGGAAGCGCTTTATGCCAGCCATTTTGGTATGCAACCTCGATCCTTCAGGTCGAATCCTTCCATTCACATTTTTTATCAAGCTCACGGAGACCAAAAAAGAGCCAAAACACGACTTCGTGCCGGCGGTGTGAACAAGACCCACCATTATAGTACGTTCCGTTCAGGAATGCTGCTGGGCGTCGGAGTCCCTGCTTTGGTCTCAGGGATTGTTTCCAGCAAGTCCTTTCATTTTCAGCCCCTACCAGGCATTCTAATGATGATCCAACTTTCAGGCTTTCAAACTGAGTCGCGCGATAGTATTCCGGGTTGGGACGGATTGTTGTTTGTATATGGTATACTATCAATTCCAGTAGTGTTCTCGCTGTTGGTCGGAATAAATCTTTTGGTCTGGTCTCATTCACGAATTAATTATATCTTCATCTTCGGTAAGTCCCATTCTACCTTTCATCGTGCGATGGCAAAAAATTTTATTCCAGAACTGGATCCACGAACACGATTGGATCATCGGGAATACTTCGAGGTATGCACAATGAGCCTTGTTGATTCAATCTGCTGTACCTTTGTTCTGATCCTTATTGTCAGCTTCCCAGCTTGATGTTTGCAACTCTATGTTATGCATTCTGGCTCTCGTTCACTCGCGTCGGAAGTCCCTCTATATCTCCCGACATCTGGCCATTAGTTTGGCTCGGCTTTACCGCCGCAGTCATGTTCGATCCGTTCAACATTTTTTTCAAAGGCTCTCGATATTGGCTCATTAAAAGTATTGTGAAATTACTAACATCTGGAACTCGTCGAGTCGAGGTAGGTGTTCTGTACAACATTGAATGCGCTGTCTTATCCTCTTCTAAACAGTTTGCTGATTTCTGGATGGGGTCAGTCATAATTCTTATGTGAAGTTTACTAAAATCTCAAAGCCTCGTTCAGAGATCAATTTTGCAGTCTTGTAGTCACAGTATCTGACCTCTACCTCTTTGCCTGCGCATACGCTGTTGGATTTGAAAAATGGCGCAAGTGCGGCTCGACAGCAAAAACTTGGCCCGCGGTTTTCATTCTAGCTATGCTTCCTTTTCTGATTCGTGTCGTTCAAAGTATCAAACGTTATGTTGACTCGAGGTTAAACACTCATTTAATTAACGTGAGACCCATTGTCTCAAGTACCTGAAGTACCTGCTGTCGTTCTCACCACAAGCATTCTTTCTAGGGTGGCAAATATCTATGTGGGATCATTTATTATCTATCTTACTATATCTGGAGACATCAAGGTACTGAGTCGAACTCAGGATATATCTGTTTGCTGGCTGACATGGAGTCTAGGAAGTCTCCGAAATACGAGTTTTGCTTTCTGGTGTTTATTTGGTACCCTCTATTCCGTTTATGCGTCGGCCTGGGTGCGTCTGTGATATTTTTCTACTTTCATCATTAAAGCATCTGAATTGTCGTTTATGTCTAGGATTTTTGGATGGATTGGTCTCTTTTCCGACCCCATGTGAAGTATCCCTTGCTTCGCGCCGAATTACTTTACACAGACCATATACCTGTAAGTACTCTGTCTCCCACGCCAGCTGTATGCACTAATTACAGCTTGCAGCTTTATTATTTTGCTATTGTAAGATTGTCGACGACAAGGTCTGTCCTCCTGAGTCTAATATTTCGTAATTCATCTTGTAGATATCCAATACTCTGATACGATTCATCTGGGTGATTTATATCCCTTCAAGTTCAGCGTCTAACATGTACCTACGCTTTTTTATCGCTGGCTTTCTGGAAATGCTTCGACGATGGCAATGGAATTTCAGTGAGTTCTTACATTTCTTTGCGCGCCTTCTAATATAGATTCTTGTGTTTATAGTTCGCTTAGAGAATGAACATCTGGGTAACATGGATCAATATCGAGTGACTCGAGAAGTCCCCCTTCCGTATTCATTTGACGATAACCACCACCATATCGGTGACAGTGATGATGATTAGAGCTACGGAACGTCCATGTCTACAGTAACGACCAGTGATGACTCGAATAGATTATAACACTCAGGATGGAGTTGGACTGTCACTTCATCGATATCGCGATTTGCTCTAGTTCCCGAGCTATTAAAGAGTTCGGACACTTCTTCCGAAGTTGCCTGGAAAGTGGTGGAAATTAAACAATAAGAAAATGGTCAATGGCCAGATGAAGAGGGTCACTAACTCAAGCTTAGCCTTGTCACCACGATCTTTACACTCCTTCCCGACCATCCGCCACTCATCACATTCAGCATAAAGGTCTGCCCGCTTCGGTGGATCACAGCGGGCGACGTAGGCGACAGCTTCTTTATTGTGCCCTTTTTCTACCAAGTGCCGCACGAAAGACTCATACCCAATCGGACTCCTCTTTGATTTTGAGAAAGCATCCAATCCTTCGAAGTCGCGGACTTCAGTCAAAGCATATAATTTCGTGTACCAGAAGCTATTGACAGACATAAGAAACAAAGAACCACGGAAATTCGAAGAGGATCCTTGCCGTTTGTCAGGCACCTTGAAATCCGACTTGACTTTATCAGCCCGCTTGAGCATTCCATTTACGATACAGGTTCGAATCGTTTCATTCACGCTCTGTCCAAAGAATGTAACTTTACCATCTGCCTCGGCCTCTAATTGTTGTTGGAGAGTAAGCAGGCGAGAATATTCGTCCATCATCTGGAAGAATATGAGCATATTGTGTTTTCCTTTGATACCGTGATACTAATCCGACATACCTTTGCCTCAAAGTTGCGATCTTTATCCTCAGAGAAAAACTTCTGGGCTGATTTAACAGCTGTTATCCGAGCGGAAGGATCCTGCAGTCCTCGATGAACCCCCAATACGAACTAATGATTGTCTAAAAGGTCCACCCACCACCATGTGCGAAGCCTCTTCTAAAGCCAAGACAGCACTTTCGACCCGGCGATCATCGGAATAATAGAAATCTCGGAGCATGTCTCTATCCTGCTCGCGAGCGTAGACTTGTAGTAAGCGGCTGGCAGGCGCTAGGTGTTCCCCGCCATCTTCTATGAGACGGAAGAAGGAACCGAGCGTAAGGTGCTTGTGAAGATGAAGCAGAACTTGGTAGACTACAGATGTCTGTTCCTTAATTTGCGGAACATGTAGAAGATCAGTAGGAGACGAACCTAAATCGGTGTCGCCGCTATCCACAGCTTTTTGTAAAGCTAGGCGGTCTTCTTTCATCGAGAGCAGCAAGGGAACCTGATCAGAAGCTCGTTTCTCATGATCAAGCAGCTGAAACGAGGAGTTAAAAAGAATTCGAGGGGATGAATACAAACTTTACTTTGGTTGCCAACCCAGTCCTGCCGACCTCCCAAGCGCGTTTAGCAATTTCGGCGTAGCTAACTTCGACATCCCCTAGCTGCTTGAATTTATCGACTATGAGTCGACACACTTCATCATCACTGTCCAGCTCGGCATCTTTGCCGGTCCCACTAGCCACCGGACGGGTACGCATAATTTTCGCGCTAGCCCAATGTTTCAGAACTACGTCCGGCTTGAGCGAGAGAAACGTTGATATTCGCAATGCGAGCAGATGCATGTTGCGCGAAGTAAGACGTGAAATGAGATGCGTTGGGGAGGTATAGGAGTACTGAGCATATGTTAATGGTATTCCAATCTCATAGAATCGGACTGCATTTAGGACTTTAAGTGTTTGACCCATGTTAATGAAGTCTGTTGGATCATATAAGTCGAGGAATCCTTGACCAAATTTCGCTGCCTTGAGAAGATTGTCAGCGAAACAAACATTGTACGAACAGTCATGACTTACGCTCAACAACCGACGTTGCCAATAGGGTTCCCACTCTTGCCCAGCGGCATCGATGCATCTGTCTACAGCAGTGGCAAGCTCAGGGCGAATGCTCCTGATACTTTCATCAGACTTCGGAGAACGTTGTGAGAAACTCTCCCAAGCATCATAGAGGATAGCTGCAGGCGAAGTGGAGCCGGGTCTGAAAATTGATAGCGTAGAGGAGGGAACTTTCTGAATGAGATCGCAAGCATCTGCACCAAGTATTCGTACACCATCCGTCTCTGTAATAGCGAAGGTGTTACCGACGTAATAGTATTGGAGGGTATCGGCAAAAGGGCCGACAAGCACAGCGAGCGAATCCCAAGTAACGACGATGGCATCGTTTCCACACCATTCGACCTGTTTAACGTTGCCTTGAGCGGAAGGAACGTTGAGCGTATCGAATTCTGCCATGCGACGTTGGAAGTCTGAAGATACAACAAGAAGTGTTCCAGATGCATTTAGAAGGGCAAGAGATTTGCCATTGGGAGACGGGGAAAGATGAGTGAAAGGCCCTTGAGAAAGACGTTGATCCACACTCTCAAGATTGTCGACGGTGTAAATAGTGTTCTCTACTGAGAGCAAGACTTCGACGTGTCTTGAAATGTTGGAATCTGGTGGAATGATAGCCCAAGACATAGGAGGATCAGTCAAGTCTATGAAGGAGTATGATGATTTTTTGTGCAACAAAAATATATAGGAACTCACTTGGATTTGCTAGGGTCATTGGTCGCGCTCCTTCCCATCCCTTGACCTCTAGTAGAGTCAGGGAACCAGTCAGAGCGACCATTCCGTTCTCGTACATACGCGCATCAACAACTCCCACTTCAGAAGCCTCAGTTCCCAGAGAGTACTGTTGATACTCTCCTTGTAGGTCGTATACCCGATATACTCCTTCTTCGTTGAGTACAACCAACTGTTCGTTCAGAGTCCATCCAAAGCGGATGATCCGACCATGGTCCCACTGTCTCATGAGCTGGTCAGCCAAGTATTACTCATGAACGTTTAAAAGATCATCCACACTAAAAAGTAATAAGCCTTCTCCTGCCGAAGAGTAGACTTGAATTTGAGATTTTGCATGCGCTGGCGTTACACGGCCAACAGCAATCAGTTTAGTGTTGTCTCTCATCATGGCTTTATAGCTGACAATGAGCTTTCAATGGGAAAAGGAAACCGACGTGAGTGTACCTAGAGGACCGCTATAACGACATCCAGCGATGATGTAGTCACCCAAATCAGGTAGTTTGCCTAATATTGAATAGAGCTGCTGTCGACGATAGAACACAGTGCCATTTTGCATCGCCTGCCATGATGTCGTAGGATGTTCTGACATCGCAGAAAAGTAGAAAGAGTTGTAAGCGCCTAAGCGCCCAACACACTCGATTTAACGTCTCGTGAAGAAATGCAAAAAAGTATGTGTATGTGTACGCCAAATCTACTCGTCGTAAGTACAGTGCTTTTGTTTTGAATATCAACACCGGTAATAAATGATACATTTTAATGATAAGTAGCTTCAATAAAGGTCCTGGCACTGCGGGAACGCGAACTAGTAAGCTAAGAATACTTCAGTTAGAACGAAGTTGAAGCGAAGTATGTATGCACAGGAACGGTATTCGTGAGAGGAAGGAGGCCCATCTCGAATCGGCCTCTCAGACTTATGTGACACGGATTGGTATACGCGCTCGAAGGGTATCTGACCCCACCAAAACCGAAATGTCGATATAATACTAAGGAACAGATGAATCAGAAGATATGCGACGATGGGGAAGAAATCCATGGCATACCTTGACGCTTACTCCCTGCCAGTCAATTGAGGGAAGCATATCCTTGTTTAGATTAAACTTGGCTTTGTGTAAGCCGTCCGGAAGTGAAGATTGGGCCTCGAGGGAGGGGTGATGGTCAGAGCCAGTGTGCTGGCGAGGTCGCTTGGGGAAACCAATGCAAATACTAGTATGCAGCAGACGGGAATCTTTGAATACTGCGTGCATTGGTAAGCGCGGGAGAGGCTTTTGATCCACCTCCAGTGATTCATCAGAAACACGGGGAGATAAGGGCTTCACAACTCGTTTCAAGAGTTGCACACCGCGGATTCCGTCAGACTCATCACTTCCACCAGGAGTCTGTGGAGGTGTCGGTGGAAGAAATGACTGTTCCGTCACAGTGATCTGGCGAATGAGACTAGCTGAGATGGTAGCATCCGATGCTATCTCCCGCGCAAGAGCCGGGCTTCTTGGGGTCGTAGTAAAGACAACATAGTAAGGAATAGACGATGAACGAGAGAAGGTAACTGCGGTTGGTAGGGTGATCTAAAGAAAGAAACATGTTAACAAAACCTCCAATTTGACCGGGGTAAGGGACTTACAGCACAGCGGAGAGGCATGGGACGGTCGACGCGTAGAGGCATTTCTAACCATGACTTCGATTCTTGAGAGGAACCATCCAGAGATTGAAAGCCTGTATCAGGATGATAATATATCGGAGCGGTCACACTAAATAACGGGATATTATCAGCTTTGGAAATACGGCCAGGCTATGAACCTACAATGAGGGATATTCAAATGACTCAGTCGGTTCCCAAGCGACGGAGAGCTTATACTCGACCCCAAAGGAACGGGCAACGTTCGAATCTTCTGCATGAGCCCCTGGTGTTCTTAGCTCACTATGTCCAGCGGATACGAATGTAGGGGGGATTTCCTCTCCAGTCCGATTACTACGAGGCAAATCAAAGGAAAAGGAATATGTACGATTGAACCCGGGAGATACTGGCGACTTTGCGGCGGGGACTGACACTGTAGTGTTCAGACTAGAACCACTGGGTCTTCGCTTGATGGATCTTATTGTAGACGTGAAGCCGTCCCGAAAAGTGGTCCGTGGTGTCGACAAACTCAGAAATGAATCCAGGGAAGGTGAAACCTGTATTGTGGAAGAAGACGACCAGAAGACATGTTTCCGAAGTTCAGGACGCCCTTTGGAGCCCCCTGCTTGAGAAAAATCGTCGTAGAAGAAAGCACCTTCGACCTAAGCAAAATGAGGCAAGTATTGTAGGATGACAGCACATATGCGTACAGTTACGACTAAACGTCCTGAGGATGGTGCTTTGGAGTCAAGGGTGATCGTGCCCGACACTTTGTCCCCTTCACCGAACACTGGTACCAAGTGTGTTTTGTCCATTCCTGCAATCTTGACAGAGGCACTGTGCACTCGCATTTCCATTTGAGATGAACTACGGAAAAGTTACTGGGTCAAAACGCGTCTCATATCCCGGAATTCGTCGTTACTAACCGGTAACATGAGACGTGAGCGTAATGTGAGGATGTTGGAACAAAGCTAGAGGGTGGGCGAGATCCGCTGGACAAAGACTCCGTACGCCGGCGAAGAACCATGAAAAAAACGAAAGGAAAGGTTGTCGAGAGAGTACAGAGGAGAACGAAATAAGCAGAAGGGGAACAGAAATGAAAAGGTTACCCATGATATATATCAATACACAATTATATATTATCTTCTTCCACGGAAAAAAATTCGCTTATGAATTCAAAAAAGGGAATCCTAAAGTAAGCGGCCTTCTTTTCGCGGGGTACATTCACTCATCCGAAATACTGGGTCGCTTAAGGGAAGCACCATCTGCCGAGGCCATCTGTCGGTGACATCTTTCCCAAATTTGAGGCCATTCAACTTTGGCCAAATTCCAGTATTTATCACGGACGCCCCTACTTGAAAGAATCCATACACAACCCACAGACGACCACTCACCAGATGCGGTTGGGAGCCATGCTCGAGTGGTGATCAGGTCTGCATAATTCCGGTATAGTCAGACTCAGGGACGCGGTTCGAGGCGATCCCCTGTGTGTCCAATCCTAAACAGGCACTCGCCCTGTATACTGTGTACGGTGTACGGTGTCCTTGACAACGAAAGAGACAACGGTCATTGGACGATCATTGGTCACTGATAAGCTGCGAGGTAAGAGCTCATTGCCCGAATGAAGCTGGAAAGGTATAAAGTGGACGTCAATACGACTCTCTCAAGTCCATATGTATGGTACCTACAGTCAGCGGTCAATCGTCGCAATCGTGAAAAGGTAACTGCAAAGAACTGCAATAGGCGGCGAAATAAAAGGTCCGCTAGATTCGTAGTAGGACCAATTCTCGACGCCCGACCATCCCAGCCCCTATCATAGGACCCGCTCTGGGATAAGGAGGATAAGAAGACATTCATGCCCTATCTATATGTAGCTTTATTACTCACGAAGTTCACCTTGGTGTCCATATGCATCTGCACTCAATCTATAGAATCCATTCATACACGAACGGATCAGGACAGGACTATAGTCCTCCGTGTCTTGTACTATTCATTCATTTGTATCTGATGAAGAAGCCTAACATTGCCAGGATGGGAATCGAAGAGGCGTGCGGGAAACCTGGGTCGACATTGTCAGCAGATCATGAATGTACTTATGTAGTAACAAAGAAAAAACATGAGCTGTTGACCTTGTAAGTTAACTTCCTTTCTCAAACAGACGACTCCAGCACATAATGTGACGGAGCTGGGTATAAGGAAGCGTCCGAGGCGCGACAGCACTGTACATGAGCATACATGAGCTCACTTACTTGGATTCAGTCCTGAGCTTGAGTGTCTTCCAGTACTGTATCTCATAAGCTTTTGAGACCTGCGGAGGCCGGGCTTCGTGAGCTTTCGGGAACGCAAATACGATTACTGTAATGATGATCAAACCAAATTCGTAGGTAAAGCTTTTTTTATCTTGTCACCTGAGGCTTCTTCAATGCCAGGATCCTCAATCATTTTCCACATTTGCCCTGCGTGAACTTTTCATGAGATGGACGTTGATCAATAATGGACAGAACCGATAGGCGCGCGCCTAATTTCCACAACAGCATCACCTGACTTTTTCTACTCTCCCGTTGGAAACCTTCTCATGATCAATTGCACTGGTCTTTCAGGGTCTTTCCTGTCGGTCTCAATTGCGCTTCTCCTGGTACATACTGAATTTGTCGTACTCCACAGCGAGATCTACGTCCGTCCGTCCCTGCTCGGATTTATGCTCTTAGGACCCGAAGTACGTACATAGAAACCGAATGGCACACATTGACCGGGCCGGTCTCGGAATCGCAAAACTGTGGACCGGCCATCAAATTTTAGTCTCGGCATACTAGCGGCTTGGAGATTTACGGCGCGCGCGTTAGTATTAGTAAGTAAATGACGAGTTGAATGACGTCAAATGGGACTTGGTTGAGAGGATAAAAAAACCTAAACTTAAACTTGTCTTACACCGGCACCATCCAACTTTACCACAGTCTCAAATTCCACGATGTCAATTACAAGTGCCTCTGGAACTCAGTCTCCGCCTCTGGAAGCCACCGGCGAAGACAAGCCTATGGGCGCATCATCTGTCGAAAGCGCTCAAAAGGGCGTGGAAGTTGAAGCCGTCCCTGACTATGAACAACGAAAGCGTAAGTTTTATATGAGTTAAACTGCTTTTGGACTGTTGTTTTTGCTTGCCGTTTTTATAATCAAGGTTTTTGCTAGTTTTTGTGAGATCTCACATTTACATACATACATAGTGAATCTTGTTTTTTTTCTACTTTGTCACCTGGTTTCCTGCGTTACCTTATTTCGCTTCTGGAAAAGGTGCGAACAGGAGCGATAGTGACGGATTCGCGGTTTGAAGCATTTTTCCCTATCATTTCAGTCTTTTTCAATCTTTTTGAATGTATGTACATATATCACTGAATATCATGCTAATCATTTTTTGATTTCAGAATATTTCGAACCCACTGAGCAAGATCAATCCGTACGTTCCGCAATTACCTTTGTACTACTTCTGTCTTTCTAAATATGCTAACCTCTACCTCACACTTTCGTCAGAATTCCAAACCTCGAAATGGGGAAGGCGTGATGGGGCAGAGTCTTGCAGACACTTTGGAGAAGAGAACCTGATGAGCTATGTAATATGATGTCGTCCGGACAGGGAGTAAGAATCTTGATGTCGACTGCAGGGCCAGAGGTACCACGACAGGGCACTGAGGGCAGGGAGGCGGACTAAATAAGATTGGACAGTGATTCCGCGCCTGTTGTGCGACTCTGTACGAAGTGTGATTTTCCACATCCAATTTTTTAAATTCATTGACCATTTGTACCCGCGTGTTTGGATCTGTACAAACAATATTCTTCTTCTAATACCGATAACCCATGTACATGCCATCGAAAACCGTAAGATTCCCCCGAATTCTCAAAGCTAAAAACACCGATACCAACACCGCGGTTTCTTTCCTCAGTGTCATTTCTTCAAGTATTCTGTCCACCACTCCTCGAAAAGCGTCAAACCTAAACCACCTTCAATACCCAAATCTTCCGTCTCCTTAGTGTACAACTGACAATCCCTAGGTCTCGTCGTAGCCGAATCGCCCTTGGGTGCCTCCGGATCAGGCACAATATGTCCATGCGGGAGATTGAGAATTTTCGCGAAGACGAGACACATTTCGTATTTGGTAAACGGCTCGGCGGCGGAGTAGTGAAGGATTGGGGGTACTGTGGCGGTCTTTTTGAATTCTTTTTGAGCGGAGGTATTGTGGACGAAGTTGATGAATGCATCGAAGGACAGGAAAATCAGTATTTTATTGCGGAGTCGAAATTCGAGGGGATAGAAGGGAGAGAAAGAAGAGTCAGTCAGAGATGTGTTCTCTCGACCCACGTACGAACAAGGTTCAAACTCACCTGAAAGTCGAACAAGGAAATTCGCGATATCGACGACATTCGTGGGGTAGCGTGTGGCGTAATGATCCATCTTGTACTGTTTTCCTGATTGGTCCTGAACGACATCTAGTAGAATATTTACTGCGCTGTCGGAGTTTTTGGGTGCTGGGCCATATCTACGTCCGTTGTTCGGTCAGACTCAGGAATGTGGAAAACTCCAAGGATGAGAAAAAGAGAAGGAGAAAATAGTGTGCGATACTAATGGCGGAGAAAACCGGTATTCGAAGACCTACAAGACAGGAACCCGCAAAACGATAACCTTAGCTCCGTTCACGGAAAGAACAGCTTCCTCCCCATCACGTTTTGTTCTACCGTAAAGTTGGAGAGGATTTGTTTTGGCGGAAGGAGTATATGGCGGCGAGTTCCCGTCAAAGACATAATCTATCAGTGTGCTAAATGAGTACATATTATCATAGCAGCAGGAAAGAAAAAGAAAATTGACGACACAACGATGACTTGCCTGTTGATACGTAGACGAGGGTGTATTTCAAGGATTTCGCTAAAGAAGCAAGGTGCCTAGAGACGTTCACGTTAAGCTACGGGATGAAGTAAGATCAAAGCGGTAGATGTTGGTAGATGTGTGTGTAATTCACCTTTTGAGCACCTTGAGGATCCTACGAAGGCCACCAGATGAGGAGCATCGCAGTATTCACACATTAGCGAGCAGGGTTGAAGGATTATCTTCTCTTCCGTACCTTTTCTGCAACATCAGGTCGTCGTTCAGCAGCACAGTGTATTACCCCTGCACAAGTATAAGAAAAACGCCAGGTTCTTTCTTCTTGAGTTATCTCGACCTACAATTCGGCTTGAACTCTGTGAATACCTTCTCGACTTCTTTGGTGTTTGTTAGGTCCAAGGGGACCAAGCCATCACCGGTACGGGTGTTCGATAGTGCTAAAACTTGGTGGGGTGTTGATTTGAAGGCTTCACGGACTGCAGAGCCAAGAACGCCAGAGGCTCCTGTATGTATAGAATACAGCAGAAGTCGAAGTTAGCTTTATGCAATCGGGAAGATCTGACTAGTAAGTAACTCGCCAGTTATGATGACTTTCATAGCTGGCGGGAAAAGGGCGGGAATAGAGGATCAAATAGAGCATTGAATCTGACGTAAGGTTCACGGATAACGTGGACAGCTTTTCCATCTCTTGCCCTTCATCGTCTTTTCGTCTTCTCGATGTCTAGTCTACAAGGCTATGTCGATAGTAACTCTTCTCATCTCTTACAAGAATTCTCTCTCATCTCTTTGATCAGGGCGCGTCCTGCTTATTTTGCAAGATGGACGAGCGATTGTGGTATGTTGAATTCCGAATCTCTCAACGATATCTTTTGCAGTTTATTCTGACTTGTCGACATATTATTTGAATCGTTCTCTCAACTTGATCTGCACTCATTGTATCGATCTCAATTTGGAATGGGAAACCCGCGGTTTATAGGGTGTAATGGCAGGCTTCGACCAGAAGTCGAATGTCGTTCTGTCAGATTCCAAAGAAAGGGTGTACAGTATGGAGGACGGAGTCGAGGAGATACCTCTGGGATTGTATCTCGTGAAAGGAGATATGATGTGCGTTCTCTGTTGTCTGAATCTCCATCTCGTCTCATCTCGTCCGATTGCTCCTTATCATGTCCTTCCTTTTTATCTTCATGCGCCCAGTATCCTCATTGGCGAGCTAGATGAAACTTTAGACCAAGCTGTCGATCTCGCCTCAATACGTGCCGAACCGATACCGCCGATTCGGTATTAGCTTTCGCTTGTACTTACGATCGCAAAAATCAAAACTAAAATACGAGCTCGCCTGAGCTCGCCCCTGGAATATTTGTGCCACTCCATAACACATGCTCGGTGCAGGCACGTTCATGACCGAGCCCGTCGCGGTCACGAAGTAGAAGAGGTACAGGACACTGAACAGATACGGGACATCCGACATGCCATACGCGCCGTTCTTGTTCTGGACAGGTGTATTTGAGAAAGGAACAAGACTGAACGATCAAGTAGGAGTTGGATTGTAAAACGGCCCAAAATGTAGAGAGTGTCATACATCACATCACAGAGACCCTGGGTTACTCCTGCTGTGTATTCCCCAATTTTATGGCCTGCTCAATTTCTTGCGATCATGATTCATTGCCATCGTCGCTATTTCTCTAGCTCAAAAGCTCGAATTAAATAATCAGGTTCCAGCCTTGGTCTAAATCCGTCATTGCGACGTCCAACTAACCGACGATCTACGTACTTGAAGCTTGAGTCCTAGCGCCTAACTTTTGAGCAGCCTAAGTCCTGCTGAACCCCTCAAAAGCTTCGAGTGTGGATTGAATGCTCTCGAATAAATATTTTTTGCTCGAGCTAGTGACTTGTACGTATGTAGAAAGACATATATGTACAACCGAATTCACAGCCACGATCAGAACTTTCTTACTGCAACTGCCATCGCCAAACCCGCTGTGGACTCGGACTAGTTTAAACCTGGTTTAAACCTTTTCCTTCTCTTGCGGTGAACGAACTTCTGGTTATTCTTGATTTCCCGTACATAATCTTTCAAACTCGCGTCATTGTAAGTCCTTTCTCCTCGTGTACATTCATTTATCAAACGTCCCTTTTTACTGACATACTATATGATATCCTGACAGCCTTAGATCTATTTTTTTTTCACCCGCTCATCCCACTCACTGATAATGTCCTCGTCCTTGTCGCCTCAACATGAAAAGGACGCTCAGCTGGCCCAAGTTGAAGACGCTGCGACCTCCGACTTAAGTAGCCAACAACATCATCAGAAACAAGTCAGAGAGGATATGGAGATGGAAGACGGCGAAGAGGTTTCGATGTTACCTTCACCTGCCGTCGCACAGGCTCCAAGGCAGAAACCAAAGATTACAGCGACATTCATCATTCCTATATGGATCGTTCTCAGTTCTTCGGTTATCATATACAACAACTACCTCTACAACACCCTCCACTTCCGCTATCCTGTTTTTGTTGTGACATGGCATCTTACTTTTGCGGTGCGTGTGCCGTTTGTCTGGGTCCTGTCCACATTCTGACTGTTCCTGTTATTCAAATGTAGGCGATTGGAACTCGTATATTGCATCGAACAACAAGTTTGCTAGATGGTGTCAAGGACGTTAGCATGTCGAAAGACATGTTCCTCAAATCCATTCTTCCTATCGGTATTCTATTCAGCGGCAGTCTCATCTTGAGCAACACGGCCTATCTATACCTTAGTGTATCTTACATTCAAATGCTCAAGGTACACCTCCATTTTTGAAACATGACATGTTTCGTTCCAGGAATAACTCTTCCGAGAAGGACGAATATTTTCGTTATGTTGTACTATTGATTTGCTGTCAACTGACTCGTTACCTTCCTCCTCTAGGCCTTCAATGCCGTCGCGGTCCTCCTCGTTTCATGGGCATTCAGGATTTCAGAACCGAATAGAAAACTTGCCCTTATCGTGCTCATGATTTCTTCTGGTGTCGCTGTCGCGTCGGGCGGGGAGCTCAAGTTTAATATGTTTGGATTTATAGTACAGGCAGCTGCGGTCGGCGTAAGTCCGCTATCTGTCCATACATCACCATTCAGTGGCTGACGCCAAACTTTAACCGCTTAGTTCGAAGCAGCGCGTCTCGTTATGATTGAGATCCTTCTTCACGGATTAAAGATGGATCCATTAGTCTCTCTCCACTACTATGCCCCAGTCTGCGCAATTATCAACCTGATCGCCCTCCCGTTCACTGAAGGCCTTGCGCCGTTTTTCGAGCTTGCAAAAATTGGCCCATTCATCCTTTTCACGAATGCCGCTGTGGCGTTCTTACTGAATGTGGCTGCGGTTTTCCTTGTTGGAGCTGGAAGCGGTCTGGTATTGACGTTGACGGGAGTGTTCAAGGATATCTTGCTCATCACCGGCTCAACGTTAATTTTTGGTTCGACTGTCACACCGATTCAGATATTCGGTGAGTATATTTCGAATATATTGAAAACTGTAAATACCCGCTGACTTTTGCTCCTCTGTTTTTGAACTTTCGTAGGCTACAGTGTTGCGTTGGGTGGTCTAATGATGTTCAAATTATCTGGCAACAAGAAGTGATTGACGTATCTTGGTCTTCTTTCAACATGGCTTTTTGGACAGACGCATGCTACATCATTTGCTAGTCTTATCCAATTCCTCACCCAATCAGGATCTACTTGGACGGTGTAACAGACAAGTTCTAGTTGCTGTGAACGCAAGTACTTAGAGGTTAACTGGATCTTGAACTCCTATAGATTTTTTCGCATATAAGATATACATAGCTGTTTTCATCGGGTTAATTGTACTGTTACAATGTGGCAATTAGTTATATACTCACAAGACCTTGTAAGAGTACAGTTGCGCCAGTAATTGAAAGCGCTGCAGTGACAATCGGCCCGGTCCGAGGCAATAACACCACCACGATGCAGGTTCGTGACAAATTTTTCTTCAGCGCATCAGTCATCTCTTGTTGGAGGAATGGCAAGTATATTTCCTCTCGAATCTTCTATTCCTTTTCATAAAGCCCAAAATCGACATATCTTTACGTTGCTGTACACAGATCATCCCAGTTCGTTGCTTTTCATGCGGTAAAGTCATCGGAGACAAATGGAATGCGTACTTGGAGTATCTCGCAAAGGATATGAGTGAAGGGTGAGTTGGGAAGACAGCGGTTTCAATATATCACGCTACTGGCCCTCATTTTATATTCGGACGTTCTGAACTTGATGTGTTCTTTCTTGCTCAGAGATGCGCTGGATGCACTACAGCTGAAGCGATACTGTTGTCGTAGAATGGTGCTTACACATGTAGATTTGATTGAAAAGCTCCTTCACTATAATCGTGTGTCATCCATTCTTTGGTCACTTGGAGAGAATACTAACAACACTATGTACAGCCATGGAGCGCACGAAGGATAAAGCTCAGTTCTGAAGGATTTTCAATGATTGTACTTCCTGTCAACTTTTCGAGAGATTGTTGTATATAACGGTTCTTGCGGCTTTTCTTTCACGTCATATGCGCCTGCTTTCCCGCTCTTCGAACATATTCTTAACGATATTCAATCGTGACATTTACAGGCCCGATGGATTTGAGCATCGGTAGAGCCTGAAGGTAAATACAACGTTCGTGCAATCTCGTGATTGGGGTGATGGTTTCCAGCGAACCCGCAGAAAGACACAGCCGAAGTTGATTATTACGGTATCGATATTTCAATGTTGAACGGTCCAAACCCTTCCAAACCTCCGCTTTCACAAGATCCTAGATAATTCGACGGATCCTGATGATGCATCAAATTCTTTCCACAAGCCTCTCGATCCTCGGAGTGTTAGCTTCCGTTTCACCATCTCTGCAGGCAGCCTTCCATCATCTCAAGTTAAAATCTAAGCGTCGATAGCTGTAATCCACATGCTTTGAGTTGGACCCGAGTTGGAGATTCAAGCTGTTTTGTCCCCAGGATTGACTAGGGACTTTTGATTACCAAATATATATGTACTCAATGATTGGACAGCCATGTAAGTGTAAGTGCCATGATCTGTTAACTGCTCGAATATCACTAACTTTCCATGTACCTAGAGGGGGCGTAATCACTAAAGACATCCGCTCAAGAATGTGCCGAAACTTGCTGAAACATCATATTGGTGTGATTGTGTTCTTAATGTGCGTCGAGAACTCAATCAAAATTTTCGTGATCAAGACGATTTCAAGCTGCCGTTGTAGGCTACTATCGGTTTCAGTCGCTTATGCCTTGGGCGCGGTTTTATCATTTAAGGGACTGTGAAGGTATCGCCATTCGATTGCTCTACGCCTCCATACACCAAGTTCGTGATATGACAACTTGTAGACTGTTTTATTGACGAGCGACCTCGACAACACTGGATAGTGCAAATACTCAAACTACTGATGTCACTACTACATTGACAATGAGAATGGTGATCTATTTTCTGGTATTTTTCCCATTCTCTCTCCCCCAACGGGATGGACACAAGGGTCTATCTGCACCGACTGCGCCTTTCATCTTGACCCACCCAAAGTATTTAACGGGACTTGGTCTGATACCACCCACTATGTATATGACCCCGCGAGGACTGTTCAGTTCAATTTTACTGGTGTGTAGTTCCACTCCTTTGTCATAGGTTGCTCTAATTATGTACGGATTTAGGCACTTCCTTGGATGTCTACTGCATACTCCCTAATCCCTCCGATCCTGTACTTACCTCAACATACAATCTGACGTTTAGCTTGGATGGACAACCTCTTCAGCAAATCTTCACGCATAAAAGTGATTTGTCAAACGTCTACATGTACAATACTAGCGTATTATCCTTGGAAGGGTTGACGTCAATTTCGCATGTTTACTATGCTGGCTGCGTCCACAGTGGTGAACTCCAGCTTGCTATTTGATTATGCAAGGTATTCAAAGTGAGTAAACTGACCCCCTCTTTTTTCTTATTATTATTTTTACTTATGACATCCCACTTCGACCAGCGCCGCTTCGAGTCCGTCTCCATCATCCAATCCTGGTAAGGCCCACACCAGCGGCCTTCCAATAATCCTAAGTGTCGTACTAGGATCAATCCTTGTTTTGTTTATCATTCTGCTAACTCTATACCGCCGCTATCGACGACTCCGGCCGCAGTCCAACTCCGAACCGTTTCATTTCGTTGAACCTTACATACACCCTCAAGTTACTAGATTTGGGTCGAAAAGTGTTCATGCGGGGAGTCTCGGAAGTTCCGAAATTTTAGAGCAATCTGATCCAGACGATTCCCCTTCGTACACTAAGATAGATCATGTGTAATAAATCATCAACTTCTTCGCCCGTCAACTACGCTGCCAGTGGTCCTGCAGTGATCCACCTAACACATCGACCAAATCTGGCCTCTCTGATCGTTGCCCGTTATGGATCTTGAGCCATCTTCCCGCTGTTCTGCCCTATAATGTCTACCGTTCCCTGAGGGTGATGTGTCCGGTACCACCAGCATGTTAGTGTAAATTCGCTACGTATCGTATAGCTCTCAGTTGCGTACGAAGAAGGACGGAAATGATTCCAAAACGACTTCGTCCCATCCTTCCCTCACTGCGGGGATGAAGGCCTTTTCTTGCCGCGAATAGGCCGCGAATAAGGCGAGATTAGGTACAAAATTCTACGCCTAAGTGTAAGCTGAATATTTTATTTAATCACACTGTAATCGGACGAACATTATGTAGAGAATATATTGAGATTATTCAGAAAATTCTTCCACAAAACTATCTAGGATTAGTCTAATTAAACCCATCGTGATTTTTCAATGTTTTCGCGTGCTGAATATGCAAGGATTTTTCAGTCTAATCTACCCTAAATTAGTGTGTGAATGTACTAGGATTATTTTGAATGATTGCAGCATAATCTTGCCGGGATAGTTTAAAATTTTCGCGGAATATTCGCCGCGTGGAGAGCATGACATTCTTCAAAATAATCTCACCGAGAATATGGGTACGCGATGTCGGGACGTCGTGACATCGAGACGTCGTCGATATCGCGACGTTATGACATCGAGACGTCTCGATATCGGGACGTTGGGACATCTAGACGTCGTCGATATTGGGACGTCGGGACATCTAGACGTCGTCGATATCTAGAAATCCAAACGAAGAAGTGTCGCAAATGTCGGGACGTCGGGAGGCGGGGAAGACCAGTACCATTATCTAGTAATTGTGTTAGTAGAATCTTAGGATAGAAGGTAGCTATACTTATCTATGTGCTCATTCATTCATAATCAGCAAGCTTGTCTTACAGCTCTGACCTAGATAACACCATCATATGTATATACACTGTACAAGAAATTCATAAGTAGATTATGCTGCTGCTGCTCTTGCAAGGACTGGTAGGACAATAGTTATCCAGATATACCACCAATGACCAGGGAAGATGAATATTTCAACATGTGCCTTGGAACCTTTGCAACACAGCATGAATTAGCGTATGGATAGAGATGTGAACCGTACGGACAGTTAGAGCAGTACTTGCGAGGTCGGCTGATGCACCTATGTTCCAATAAAATGTGTGCTAACGATTCTGAAAGAAAATAAACATGTATTCAATTGAAAATTAGTCAACAGCGCACCAGCTTTCCTTCGCCATACAACCCGTACAGGCGGAAGCCAGACTCTGCTGGGACACGGACACTGTCTGTCCCACTCTGCCTTCCGCCGGTCGTAGTCGCTCGTCATGCCTACTTTCCAGTAGACATCGGAATCGACGAAAGCGTACAAAAAACCGGGGCCATCCGCTGGCGACGGGACGCGGGAGCGTTTGGATGTGTATAGAGCGTGAAGTATACGGCTGGAGCGTCTTGCCATCGCGCGTAACTCCAGTATCGCGACTCAGATCGGGGGGAGCGCGCGGTACGAGGTATTGACAAAGCAGGGATGAAGCGCCTGGGGAGCGGGAGTAGTAGCGATCCGGATAAGTGTTCAAACAGACAATGTGTGTTTGGGTGATGTGTATAGGGTACGCTTGTAGCTTGAATTGTGCGCTATACGTTTGTGGGTGATTTGGATGTGGACAAGAGCCTGAGGAATGCGGTTCATGCTGTGATGGGTATTATGTCGTTGTCGATGGGATTAGATAATGACTGTCGGGCCTCCTGGGACCATAGGCTCTTGAGCTCAACCCAATCACTCATTTCCTGAGCAGGGATGGAAATAAACTGGACAAGCGTTAAGAGGGATAAAGCGCAGTGAGCGTCTTGTGTATCAATTAACTGCCTGTGAGTTTGCAGTTGCGCGTAAATTGAGAGGATGGAGAAGGCGGTCGTGGTGGATTGTCAGTATATGAGCCGTTGTTGTCCGGGATCGGGGGTGAAGAAGGGGTAGATGGAGACCAATGGGTATGTGTGTAGCTTGGGATAGTGTGTTAGACGTTTGTGATCAGTCCGGATGTGGACAAAAACCTGAGGAATGCTAACCATGCTGTCATGGGTATTATGTCGCTGTCGATGGGATTACCGGGCCTCTTGAAACCATAGTACCTTTGAGTTCACTCATTCTGAGATGATTTTGCAAGCAAAGCTCGCCTCGAATTGGTATACTCCAAAGCAAGGTAATATTTGCATAAGTTGAAACGAATAAAACAACCACTCTATAGGATGCCAGTCCCAGGCCTTCATTCGATAGAATGGAGAGCTGGGCAGAGTGTATCGATTGACAGTTTGTCCTAAATAGTATACATGTGTATGAGGAGTAATGGTGCACATCTAATTAGCTTAGGGACCTCGTCCCAACGCCAGTTTTGTCAAGGAGGTTCTTCATTCGTAAGAGCTCAAGTTCAGAAGGCTACAAAAAGAGACGTTTAGGTTGGCGGTGGTTGACAACAAAGGTATGACTGAGAAGGACTGACGGATGACTAGATTGACCGGCTAGGGTAGCGCGTATCGCATGTGTGAGCCAAGGAGGTCGAATGCGGGGGTTCTGGCTGCTTGAGAATGCTGCGCAAGAGTCGACAATAGTCGAACTCTCGAGCCGACTCGGAATAATGCTTCTTGAGATCGTGTTCCGGATCGTGTTCCTTGAAGATTAAGATAGCTTGTAACGAGTTTGACTCGAATACAAGACGACGGTAAGGGATGAATCAACAAAGTATTAGGTCAAGACAGAACTCGACAGAAATGGCCGATGATTTGATTATCTAATGACATCAATTCCCGAGCGCTAGCGCTCGCTCATGATCGTTTGTCCTTGTCTTTGTGTCGGCCATTCCTACAGAGTCCAACTCGGTAGGAGCCAATCCTCTCTTCACACCTCAGGATTCAGAGGAGTAGGGTACCTCTGTGAGTTATATCTGCTCTCTTTGCTAGGAACATCTGATTTAGATTTCCTCGAACTTCTGTTATACTTGACAGTGGAAATCATGGGAGTAAACGATGCAGAACAAGTCGGACCTCACGCAGTGAATGCTCCAGTAAACCTTTGATCTGGTGCTCGCAGTCGCCGCTCGATCTGATACCCTTGAATAGATTCGCTATTCAACCAATCACCGAAGAGATTCTTTGCAAGACACCATCGTGAAAGACAGTTTCATTCAACCTAAGGTCTGAACATGAATCATAAGGGTCGGCTTGTCTCACAGCCGTACAGAGCGAAAGCCTCACCATCAAGGATGCATGTCGCCGAATTACTGCAATACTTTTCAATTGTTTGCTTGTTCTCAGAGACTTTCCTGTGAGTGACCACGTATTCATTTTTCTTTGCGCGGGACCGTGTTCACCTCTTCAATGTTTAGTCCATTGATCTGCAACTCCCCCAAGTCCTGTTCAATGTGGGGATCATCAGCTACTTGCTATTTTCCGTCAAACTACTCTGGAAACTTTCGGTTATGTTCCATAGTCAACCACATGCTGTTGGTGTCGGATTTCTGGTTCCCAGTGCTGCATTATTTACCTTTGCTCAACTTCAACGATATGCCCGTGATCGATTCCCGACTCAAGAGAACATTACAAAGATAGTAGGACTGCTTGAAATTATTTTGATGTCTCGTGGGCTCACATTTTGACAGACAAATCCTATCCTCCAAACTGCTTTGGATATGACAGTTCTTGTAGGGGTCTTCATTTGTACCCTTCTGTTCTGGTTGGTGATATCTACATTTGGAGACTGGGTTGCAGTATTATGTATATTCATTAACTTTAGAGTACCTTACATGTTTTAATATGGTGTAGAACAATGTTTGCGAAACTTCTGCTACGTGGACCACATCGTTCAATAATATGACATTAAGCTATCAAAAAGAAGGAACTCTACAGAATTGGTGGTCCCAAGCACTCACGACGCAGCAGTGTGCAAGTTAGTGGTCTCAAACTCGTTAAGTGACTTCATGTCATGTAATATCCTCACACATCAACTCAATATCAATGGTCAGCTAAGATTTGCGGTACTAGATGTGTACATTCTCGTATCTAATGATAATATGTTTGTGGCCAGACTGGCATCTCATGATCCTGTTCGGAGCAGCAAGGCATAAAATGCGTAGTGTGAAATGCTATTCAGACTGGAATAGATGGACAACCCTTACTGCGACTCTCAAGCATCAACTGGTGCTGGCATTCCTGAATCATTGTCATGGAAAAACTAAAGGGAACAATATCACAAATCATTGAATTAATGGAGAAAGCAATGGCTTTACCTTTGGGACGGGATATACATGTGTAATCGGTTTGCCTCTGATTTTGAACGACAAGTCCGTACGGACGAAATGCGAGATAATGTGTGATAATGGTATAGTTAGAGCTTTTGTCGCCGCAGGATTTTGATAGCACAACCATCCACAGTTCAGTCTCCGATAGAGATCATCATCTGCGTCGATTGGCACCATAACGATAACTTTGAGGTATGTAATGGAAATCGTTTTTCGAGTGATAGGGTGGGGATGAGAGTGACTGATGACCTGCTCGATTGTGCCAGCACATATCCTTCCATTGTCGCGAAAAACAACAGAGTTCTGACGGATGGCGGGGGAGTAAATCACCCGCCCGGCCGCAACTCCCCCCACAGTATGTACTTGTCGAGAAACCTTGCCATCCCAGTGCGAACTAGAAACACCATATATGTTGCATAGATGGTAGATGATGCAATTCAGAGTGGATTCTGCAACGCAAGCGGGGCTTGTTTTGAATTCGGTACTTGCCCAAGCCACTAAGTCAGTGCCGGCAAATATACCACGATGGTCTTCACGATCGATATCTGTTAAAGCGGTTATTGCCTCGTTGATCTCTCCTTGTAAATCTGTGTTATGATCTAGGATGACTTGGAGGTTGGCTTGCCGGCAATAAGAAGTCAGCATTGTAGCTTCAACTTCTCCTAAAACACAAAATTACTGTAAGAATGGGAAGATAAGACTCCATTAGCTTACCCAGACGTCGATTAGTATTAAGTTGTTGTAAGGAATGGTTAATGCGCTCGAAGACTGGTGTACTGCGAGCATGACCCGGACCCATGGTTTCCAGATCGGTAACGACGTGAACAGCATGATGATGATTAGGCTTTAGGGTAAAATCAGGATATAGCTCGAGGACGCCACGCAGATATTTGAGGATATGAGATTTATAGTAGGCGCGCGACTTCTGTGAAGTTTCACGGAAAAAAAGGACACGCATAGAGTGAACAAGGTCTAAGAAGTTTTCTAACATCTTGTAATGACGAGACTCAACTCCCTCGTCATTTTCGTAACCCCAGACCCGAATTAGAGTGACGACGAGGGATATTGTACAGATGACCTTATATTCGTCAGCACTGAGTTTGCCTGAAGTAGATGTGCCCCATTCTGAGGGCGGTGGCTGAATCCAGTTTGGAAGGACAGTCCGTTTCATGTCGGCCCAGATTTCCTCCAACAAATCCTTACCAATGACATGGCGAGGAGTGGATCCTGATTTCGGCTTAAGGGTGCTATCGCGATACTCTTGACGCTAGTTACATTACAGTCAAGACTCGCTGATTGTATAATTGTCATCTTTACTCACCCAGTTTACTATCCTCTGGACCATAACATCCTTCGTCAAAGAGGTAGTACCGGGTTTACTAGAATCAAAAGGCGGAATTCTATACTCTGAGCATAACTTCTCCAAATGTTCATGTTCAAATTTCATCAAGTTTGATCTGGAGGGCTCATCCGCTTCAAAAATCCGTTTGAGTTTATCATATCGCATCTTTGAGACATAATCATCATCCGATCCGTATTCTTGACGCTGATTTTGGATTGTGAGGAAATGAAGCGTCTCACTGAAGGAACGTACGAACATAGAACATGATTCGGGCAACGAGGATCTTTTTGTTATCATTGATATTGTAGCCGATCCCAAAATCTTGGCATAAAGCTCGAAGAACTGATTTGGTCTTGTTATGGAGTGAAGGAGGCCTGGTGGTCAAATTAAGTATTCTAGACTTCAGGTTCTCGAAAGCCTGATCTGCATCAAAGACGAGCGGTGGGGCAGCACGCAGGACTGGTGGTATTTCTGAAGGATCAACAACCGACGAGACCTTCGAATCAAATGACTACAGGAAGTGATTTAGGAGGTTACTCTGAAACAAAACGAGGACGTACTGCTTTGGAAAAACCAGAATCTGAAACTTCATCTGCCTCAGAAAGGCTGTGATTTGAAGCTTCGTCTGTCTCGGAAAGGTTGGTATCTGTCACTTCATCGAAAGGGACAGGCTTTGAATAACATGAGTATAACAATATCGTCGCAGGATGCGGAGATGAACAAACAGTATCTATTGGATGCGGAGCATTATAAGTCTGCCAACCATCCGGGACCTTGTCATAGTTCAGTGGGGGAATTTTAGGTACTTCTTCCTGTTGCGAAGACATACGCTGTGCGACTTCAGACTAATGAAAAATCTTCAATTATCGAACTCACCCATTGTAGAATCTGGTCTACCATTGCTTTCTTGGTGCGAAGTCCAGTACGTAGTCCAAGCACAAAGGTGAGATACCAAAGAACTCCTTTGCTTTCTTGATTCAAGATAGATCCCAAGGATGTATCATTTTGTCGTATTTCATTCAAGAACTTTCGGAGACTTGCGTTGGATATCTTCTTTTGATCCTTGGTATCCGGGTGAAGTCCATTCCCGCCATTTTTCTTGTCATCAATCTTCCAAATTTCACGAAGATGTGTTTCGAAAAGGCCAAGATATCCAAGGTGCATATCATCAATGACTGTAAACCGAATAGGATCCCAATATGGCAGATCTAATAGCTCTGACCACCGGAGTCCATTTTCCTGGTAGATTGTGTTACGTCGCGCCGTGGAGGCTTCTTTCCACTCGAAAGCTAACTGTCGGTGCTTAGTCCAGTTCCTCATTACCCAATTGTCCGAATCGAGGTTATGAATATCCTGAATGGGCAGTAAACATCGTCTACAGAAGTATGTATGGCTGTGTGAAGCAAATCCCGAAAGTTGATGAGCACCCTCCGTATCACATACGGCAGGGATTAGCACCGCGAAGATTCTACGACCAAGAGCATATCGTGCAGTTCGCAGATAATACACTCCTTCCCAGAAGGGGAGTAGCTGCTGGACCAGCCTGCGCAAGGTATGATTGATGTTATGTCGGGAAGGTTTTCCGGGGATGATCGTGACTAGATACATGTACTTAGGCTGATATCGAAGGTGCTCTGGTAGGGACAAGACCACCATGTACAACGCTGTAGAGCTGAAGGAAGCATGTTGTTCTTTCAAAAAGAATGGGTTGAAAGCATCAAATCCGAGACTCATAACAAGTCGCAGGTCTGGTGATCCAGATGGACCCATCTGTGGTGTCGCATACGGCTGACCATCTGCACCTTTGAAGCATCGAAATGTAGTTGAATCAACAAAATCTCTTTCTGGAGACTCCTCTGTCGGATGCGGGCGTCGCTGATGTTGATCAATCGTATCTTCGAGGCCCGGGATAGCTAGAATTCTCCCAATCCACTCTTGCAGATCTTGGAAAGCCTGTTTCCTGATAGGAGTGACGAAAGTACGCGCTCCGATGCGGCGAGTGCGCCATAACGTCGCACCACACGGTGGCGAGTCTGGGTGATGTCACGAAGCGGCAGAGGCGGAGTGACTAGCGGAGCAGGAAGCGGGGTGACTAAACCAGGCAGTGAGGCGGAGCGACTAAGCAGGTGAGTGAGGCGGAGCGACTAAGCGGAGCGGAGGCGAACTGGTCCCAGATAATGACAGAGATATATTGAGTATCGTAGTCATAGGTAATAATAAGTAAGCACATACCTGGTCCCAGATAATGACAGAGAGGTCAAGATAAGGGACCAGGCTGTGGAGGGTTAGCTATATATACATAATCCGGTCTGTGAGAAACAACGATGTAATACTGTACAGTTCAGGGGCAAGGAAGGAGGCGGAAGCCGATAGAAAGAGAAGGTGGGTCAGGTGGATCAGTAATAGATAGATCAGTAATCGATGGAGATTGACAGCGATGGGATGATGTATTGTACAAGTAAAGGCGTCGAGACGGTGAGAAAGGGAAAATGATAGGGGCTGCGTACTTTATGACATTACCCCCCTCCTTATGACCATTGCCCTCGATGGTCAAGGTTTTGCCGCTGTCGGATGTTTTTTGTGAAAGGCCCGAACAATTTTTGGTGCCCGGCTGAGGTTGGGTGCGGGTTCCCAAGAGTTGTGTCCTGCATCGTAACCTTTCCATTTTACTAGATATTCCAACTTCTTCCATCGTACCCGACTGTCCAAGATCTCCTCCACTTCATATTCCGGTTCATCTTCATCTTCTAAGTACACCGGCTCTGGTGGTGTTGGTATTTCGCCATTGATGGGGTTACCTTTCCATGGATATAGTTTGTCGACATGGAAGACAGGATGAAGGCGGTCTAATGACAAGGGAAGGTCAAGGCGGTAATCCAGAGGTCCGACTTTCTCCAGAATACGGTAAGGTCCTAGCTGTCGGTCTCCTAGTTTTTCACTGGATAGCTGCAGGTTAATGTCCTCCGCACTTAGCCAAACTAGGTCCCCAACTTTGAATTGATGCGCTTTTCGCTTCCCACGTTCATATCCCTCCTTTTGTTGCTTCTTTCCTAGATGTAAGGCAGCTCCAGCATCCTGTCGCGCTTCTCGGAGAATCCGTATGCGGTCATCCACCGCTGGAATGCCGCTGCGTTGACCAACCGGGATATTGAACAGGGGAAGGTATCCGTAGGTTAACTCGAATGGGGACATGCCTAGGGCCGAGTGAGTCCGCGAGTTAATCACAAACTCCGCCATGGGGAGGTGTTCTGCCCAGTCATCTTGTCGTCGTCCCACATAGAGGCGGATGTATTTTTCCACTTCCTGATTTGCGCGTTCAGTTTGGCCATTGGACTGAGGACGATATCCGGAGGTTAGATCTGATTTAATTCCCAGTCTAGCGAGGAGGGATCGCATGAGTTTAGCTGCGAACTGAGGTCCGCGGTCGGATTTGAAGTGGAGGGGAAGACCATGGAGACGGAAGATTTCTCGGTAATAGATATCGGCGACACCTTCGGCTGTAATGGAGCTGGTGCAAGGAATAGCATGGATTTGTTTTCCATACAGGTCTGTACAGACCAAGACTGCGTCGTATCCCTGGGAGTTAGGCAATTGTGTTATCAGGTCGACCCCTACCTCTTCCCATAGGCCAGATGGTACATCCAGTGGTTGAGTCACAGCTCGTGGGTGCCGTTGGATCTTCTTGCGGGCGCAAATCTCGCATCCCTCAACGTATTTCTCCACAAAAGAACGCAGTGTCGGCCACCAGAAGTGGGTGCTGACCAGGTCAAGTGTCCCATGTAATCCGGGATGTCCAGCAGTTGGATGATCATGGCATTGACGGAGTACCTCGGTGCGTAGATTGTTGTCTGCTGGTACATATACCCGGCCCCGGTAATAGACCAACCCGTTGTCCTCCTCCCATTCAGCTATCCCATTGGCCAAGCGTTGTAACCCGTGCTTCTTGACTGTTTCCAGACCTTCCAGTACTTGTGCTTCCCGTTCTGAGGCTTTCCGAATACGATCCTCTAGGGGGTTCCGTAGGATTGAAGCGGCGATTTTGGTGAAGTGGCCAGGTTTAAGGACGGTCTGTTGCTGATTGTCATCGCTATCTGATACATGATGTACTGCCATACGAGAAAGGGCATCAGCTTGGGTGTTTACTCGGCCAGGACGGTGGATCATATGAAAATCAAACCGTGATAGATAGAGGGCCCATCGGGCTTGTCGACGGGTAAGGTCTTGTGCTGTGCGCCAGAATTCGAGGTTGGAGTGGTCGGTGATAATGTCGAATGGTTGTGGAAGTCCTTCCAGGAAATTCCTCCAGTCCTTCAATGCTTCAATAATGGCAAGCATCTCCCGATCATATATTTCATAGTTCCGTTCTGCTGGCTGCATGGATGCCGATCTGAAGGCTACTGGGTGCCACTGACCATCGTCTTGCTTCTGCATGAGGGCGCCTCCCGTAGCAAAGCCTGATGCGTCTACCTCAATTCGAGTGGGCCGATCTGGCGCCCATAGAGCAAGGATTGGTGCGGAGATGAAGCCTCTCGAAGGGTGTCAAATGCCTCCTGTTGTGTACCAGTCCAGTTAAAGGTGGTATCCTTCTTGGTTAGGTCGTTCAAAGGTCGAGCTATTCTTGCAAAATTTCGGATAAAGCGCCGGTAGAAGTTTGCAAACCCCAAAAATCCTCGCAGTCCCCGGAGGTTGGTAGGGACTGGCCAGTCACGAACAGCCGCTACTTTGACCGGATCCATTCTCACCTCCCCTTCTGAAATGATAAGTCCCAGGTATTCGATCTGTTGCTGTTCAAATTCACACTTCTCTGGGCGCAAATAGAGGTCGTGCTTTTCTAGTCGCGTTAATACTTCCCGTACCACTTGTCGGTGTTCCTTGAGGTCGTTACTGAATATGAGGATGTCGTCTAGGTAGACTGCCACCTTGCCAGCTGCAATGAGATCAGCAAATATCGCATTCATAAGTGCTTGGAATGTGGCAGGGGAATTTGTGAGACCGAAGAACATAACCTTAGGCTCGAACAAGCCCCGAGTTGTTGCAAATGCGCCTTTCCATTCATGCCCCTTCTTAATCCGCACATTATTGTAGCCCCAGCGAACGTCAAACTTGGTGAAATATCGCGCTCCCTGAAGCCGGCTAATGATATCAGCAACTAATGGGAGAGGGTATCGGTTCTTCACAGTATACTCATTCAGTTTCCGGTAGTCCTGTACGAAACGGAGTTTCCCATCCTTCTTCTTCACGAAGAAGACTGGAGATGAGATGGGTGACTTCGAGGGAACGATGTAGCCTTTCCGTAGGTTTTCTTCTAGAAAGCGGTCGAGTTCCTCCTGCTCGTTCAAGGACATTGGGTAGATCTTTGTCCGCATGGTTGCTGGTGCTCTGGGTACAAGATCGATAGCGTGATCCCAGGGCTGATGGGCAGGTAATCGCTCAGAGGCAGATTCGGAGAAAACCTTCTTGAAGTCTCGGTACTGCTCAGGGACCATCTCCTCAAAGGTTTTAATGGGTTTATCGCGGTTAGCCTCCTCTGCTAGTTGTTGAGAATATGTGAACCCTGCTGAGCACCATACTTCCTCTGTTTGTTCTTCCAATATCCCCGCTTTCACCCATGCCCGACGCGTTTTGTGATTGGCTCGTATTCGGTGTATTGGGGATTCCTCCGTTGCTGTTATGATTTCATTCTCCTCTAGGTCTGCCTCAGTGTGATTGGGTTCACATTGGGATCCTTCGTTCAGGAGTTCCTGGATTGGACTATCGGTAGTAGACGCCACTAGGTGAGGGTGTGAAGTCTGCTCATCTTCTACTTCCTCTATATGTACCCGGGGTGGCTTTACTGAAAGTCGTCCCTTCTCCCAGTCAATCTCTGGATTTACCTTCCGTAACCAGGGGAGTCCGAGAATAATATCCTCTCCTCCTAAGTTTGTGATCAGGAAATCCATCCATCGCTCCTGGTTATCCACTGTGAGTGCTAAGCGTGCAAAGTGGGTGATTCGCCCGGCTCGGTTAGGTGTACCATCGATATTGAATACATCGATTGGTTTATGGAGGGGTGCGCAGGTTACGTGATTTCTGGTGGCAAAGTCTTGGTTTAAAAACAGGGCGGTAGCTCCACAGTCTACCATGGCTGCGGTTGTTATACTATGGTTCCTTCCTCTCAGTTTTGCATGAATTCGGAAATGTGGGGAGCTGGAATTTAATTCCCAAATAGATGATATTGTACATGATGGGAGCGAGTCATACGAAGAGGTAGCGAACATAGTAAACTGATTATGGGGTACTCTCGGTGCAGCCGGAGCGGGTACCCTCTTTAAAAACCCTGCTGAAAACCAGAGGACGGAGGAGACATGGCATTAGCACGGTCCAACAATTCCCTTATTTGTCCAATTTGGGTGGAGAAGTCCTGATTAGCGGGGCTCGGTATAGCAGGTCCAGCGACAGGTGTTGGGATTGAGGCGGCAATCTGAACTGATTCGTTTGGGAATAAGGTAAATGGTGCCGCCGTGGCTGAGATCTGCTGACGGCGAGGCTGTTGGCGTCGGCCACGGTCGCGACTAAGTCCCATGAACTTGTCCTGACAGACGGATTCTAGGTGTCCCCGGCGTCCACAGTATCGGCAGGTAGTCTCCTTGTGTGGGCAATTCTGCTTAACATGGCCTTGAGCTCCACAACCAAAACATCGTCCGCGCATACGGGCAAGGAAGGCCTCCCTGCTATTCCCAGTGCTGGTATGAGTAGCATCAATGTCCATGGCGTGAGGGTCGGCAGGGGTAATGTGAGCAGTGTGTGCGGGAGCGTGTCCGGTGTTTCGGCCGGTCATGGTGGGATCATGCAGGTAGACATCCACCAATATGGCTCGTTTGATTGCCTCTTTCAAAGTCGGAGCGATTCCTTGGGCGATGTTTACGATGATAAGGTGTTGTCGGATCTCCGGAAGTAAGGCGGTGAAGAAGCGTTCCCGTAAATCAATATCAGACATTTCAGTCCGATCTCCGATATCCTTGAACTTCTGGGCAAATTCTGCAACTGTCTGCCCTTTACTTTGTCTGAGGTTCTTGATCTCGCTACGGGCTTCCATACCTGGGTCCATTGGTTCAAACCGCTGGCTAAATTCCTTCAAGAACGTATCCCAGTTTCCTCCGAAAGGGGGATTCTCTGCACTGAAGTGTAACAGATGGGGAGTTGCCCAATCTCCAGCACTTTCTGTGAAGAAGCCCAAGGCGGACTTGATAAGTTTAACTTGGCTCTTGGCGAGATCCGGTTGTTCTGACGCCCAATTTTGGAACTGAGCCATGAAACGACGAGCTTCAGCACCATCTTTACCCTTGAAGACCTCGGGTTTGTTCATGCTTGACTTGGAGGATGAGCGTTCCTCCATGGCTGTAGCAAGGCTGGCTACTTGTCTGATGAGCTGAGCCATGAGATCCTCAGCAGAGGTATTTGGGGCAGGCGGGACAGGAGTCGACATGATGGGAGTAGGCAATCGGGGTTGGGGAATTGGCAGGAAGGTTATATTGCTCACAGTGAGTGGCTCTCGGATCGAGTTCGAAAGGGCGTTGGGGCAAGGTTGAGACTGGCAATCACGCCAAGTATCGTTGTTGTTGTGGGCGTGAGCTTGGTCTCTGGGGTCAAGTGCGTGCGGGAGTGTGGAGCAGTCTATACTGGCAACAGGTGTTTCAGAATCGGGCGGGACTGGGGAAGACGTGGTGTCTACGGATCCTGCAAGGACAACCTTATCGGTAGGCTGTCAGTGCAGTAATGGATCTTGACCTAATGTCACGAAGCGGCAGAGACGGAGTGACTAGTGGAGCAGGAAGCGGGGTGACTAAACCAGGCGGTGAGGCGGAGCAACTAAGCGGAGCGGAGGCGAACTGGTCCCAGATAATGACAGAGATATATTGAGTATCGTAGTCATAGGTAATAATAAGTAAGCACATACCTGGTCCCAGATAATGACAGAGAGGTCAAGATAAGGGACCAGGCTGTGGAGGGTTGGCTATATATACATAATCTAGTCTGCAAGAAACAACGATGTAATACTGTACAGTTCAGGGGCAAGGAAGGAGGCGGAAGCCGATAGAAGGAGAAGGTGGGTCAGGTGGATCAGTAATAGATAGATCAGTAATCGATGGAGATTGACAGCGATGGGATGATGTATTGTACAAGTAAAGGCGTCGAGACGGTGAGAAAGGGAAAATGATAGGGGCTGCGTAATGATAGGGGCTGCGTACTTTATGACACAGCCATAAGTGCTTCAGCATACATCTGGTGACGCTCAGCATCACCAGTGGGTTTCGTCTTCGCAATAGTCACAAGCTAGAAAGAAATATGTGACATTATATGATTGAAATTATAAACTGATAACTTACGCTATTGAACTTATTGGCCAGTGGCCGTCTTTCTTGCTCCAGATAGCCATTCTTTCTTGCCCACTTGTTGTATATGCTAACAACTGCTTCCCAACCCTTCTGACCAATCGGCAACATGTCCCCAACTCGTTCAACAAGCTTTCGACATTCTTCATCTCCATAAGTAAGGGCACCTTTTGTTCGACCTCCTTTCTTCTTTGGGCATGCTTCATTCCCACTTCCTCCTGAATCCGACTCATCATTCTTTGGTAAAGCCCGTTGATGCTTCTTCTTTTCAGCCTTCACTTCTGGCTTCCTATCTATTTTCGGATCTCTACTGCCTTTTTCTGTGCCTTCACTACCAACTCAGCAGGGGTTGGCAAAGGAGGACTAAGTGGACAAGGGTCAGGTGGAGGTTGATATGGAGTAGTTGACTGATTCTGATGGAGTGTATTCCCGAAGTGATCAGGCAACTCGAAGTTCGGAGGTGACCGCACAAGAGGGCGGGGACGAGGACGAGGATGATTTTTGGCAGAGTGAGAATTACTGACTAGTGATGGTGGCAGATTTTGAGATCGTGGTGTGGACATATAATATTGAGAAGAAGGTCGTTGATGATTAGCTTCATTGTTCTGCTCCAATTGTTAGTCGCTCTATGAACCAATATGATTGATTGACTTACAGATGTGGCTTGTTGATTAAGAATCCTTCCATGTCCATTCGAGTGATGACCAAGTCCAGGAGGAGGTAGTTCTGGATGTGATAGATAGTACACCGAATTGTACTGGCTGTGTTGATTCTGCTCCTGATGCAGATGTCCAGTACTGAACCATTCTGTCAGCGACTGGTTCTAGTAACAGGTGTCACCAGGTGTCACACTCAAGAAAACCTCAGGTAGTGAAGCGATAAAGGAAGTAAGCAGAGTTCTGGGCTAAACCAGGTAGAATAGACGAGATCAAAGCTAAGGAAATACAGCAAGTAGCTACAGCCTATATACTAGTGAACAACCCTCTGCCCTAGTAATGCCCAACGCCCTGGGTTAGTGGTAAACATGAGTAGAACATAAGTAAAGCAATGTGTAAGTAATGAAAGCTTGATCGCCATGCTGTATACGTGTTGTGAGACTGCTGTGTTTAATATAAGTAAATGAAAAGCGCATGTGTCAAGTCCATGCCGCGGGCCTCCATCCCGCCGCTCGGTACTCCGAAGATCCACTCGTTATTGTAATCTCACTCTTATTGTTCTTTCTCGCTACACATACCCTTTCGTCCTAGTCCCTTCTTATTGTCTTTTACTCTACCCTGCAGGTACTACTCGTATAGCTCCTAGTAGTTAGTCTGGCGCTCCGCATCGATGCGCCGTTCCGTAGATATAAATACTGCCTGTACGCTACTGTAGTTCCTCAGTTTAATTATCGACTTAGATTCCCTCCTTAACTCTGTGCTCCTCTAAGTCTTCAGGCTCTCTGCCTTGAAGTACGTTCCACTCGACCTTAGGACTTGAACATTCTCTGGTCCGCTCCTCGTCATCGGCGATCCCGCCGCTCCGACCTGGCTGCTACTTAGCTCCTCTATCTCTACTCTCGCTCTCCGGGGACTAACGGCGTAACGGCGGTGTTGTTAATAACTTCACTACTGTCCCACTCGTCTTCCGCACTTCGACACCTTGTAGCTTTGGCACGGTTACACGGTGTACATGATCTTAACAGTATAATTAAACTCAATCCGTTAACGTCGTACTGACATATCATTTTTTATGCCTCCGAAAACTCGAGCTCAATCTAGAGCTAACTCCGAAGAAAACACTTTCTTCACTACAGCCCAATCATTTGCCCCATTCTCCGACTCTATCTCTGCAATTGGTCAACCACGTCGCCGTAATCGCGGTTTCGGTCCAGCCACAGTTCCTACTACGTCGACTCTTCCTGAAGCCATGGAAGAAGAACAACAATTTGAGTACAGCACCTTGTACACTGGTGACGGACAACCTGTCCAAGTCCTGACCCCTCGCCGTGGACAACCCCCCGTGGTCGCTCCGGCTCGGGGCCGGTCTACTACTCGAATTGATTCTCCAATTCTCCAAGCCATAGCCCGCCATACGGGTAAACAACCCCAACGTCGCGCTGCTTCCGAATCTCCTCGTGACCCACCTCCTCACTTCGATTTGGACACCGGTGATCACGATGATCAAGACCCTCCTGTCGACCCCGACGATCCGGGCGCCGATAATAACAACGACGATCTGGATGATGATTCCGGCGGTTTACCGCATGGTGAACCTGGTGACCCCAGTGGACCTGGTGGTCCTGGTGGTCCCGGCGGTCCCGGCGGTCCTGGTGGACCTGGTGGACCTCGTTCTCCCATATCTCCTGACATCCCCAACGAGCAACGTGCTATGTTGGAACTCCTCTCGGGATTCAAGGGCTCCATTGAGACCCTTGGTACCGTCCTCGCCGCTCTCGGCCGTCCCTCTGACAGCTCTGAATCTAAGAGCAAGGTCAAGGAGCCCGAGGTATTCGACGGTTCGGACCCCCGAAAACTCAAGACGTTCTTCGTCAATCTCGCCCTGGTCTTTAATGACCGTCCAAAGTACTTCACCGACCAACGGAAGGTGAACTACACCCTTTCCTATCTCAGTGGGTCAGCCAAAGAATGGTTTGTCCCTGATATTCTCGATCCGGATCTCGACTCGCTGCCGGCCTGGACGTCCTCCTTCAAGGCCCTTGTAAAGGAGCTTCAGGACAATTTCGGCGTTTACGACGCCCAAGGCGAGGCCGAAGATTCTCTCGGTAATCTGAAGATGAAGGAAACCGAGAACATCCGGAAATACAATATCCGGTTCAACACCCTGGCTGCTAGTACCAACTGGGATTCTGCTGCCCTGAAATGGGCTTATGGACGAGGCTTAGCTGAGCGCATCAAGGACAAAATGGCGCGTTTGCCCGAGCCGGCGACGCTCGCTGATTACCGTCAAGAGGTTCTTCGTATTGACAATCGTTATTGGAAACGCGAGGAAACTAGGAAGCGCGAGGCTGGTAAGCCTTTTGTTGCTCGGAACCCGAAGAAGGGTTCCTCGGACTTTAAGACTGGTTCTACTAACCAGCAAAACAACTCTCAGCCATCTGGCTCTTCGGCGCCGTTCACGCCGAAGCCTAAACCCTTCTCTGGTGGTAAGCCTAATAACAATGGTAAGCCCCAGAACTCTTCGAATTCCGGCCAATCCGGCGGTCAGCGCCCCGCGTTCAACCATCTTGGTGCAGATGGGAAAGTCCTTCCCTCCGAGAAGGAAAGAAGGATGAAGAACAACCTTTGTCTCTTCTGCGGTGGTAAGCATCAGATTGCTGACTGCAATAAGCGAAAGGCCCGAGAATCGAAGGGCCGTGCTGCTGAGGTTGAAGAAACCCCCGAAGCAACCGTAGAGGTTGTTGAAGAGGAATCGGAAAACTAGTCCGCAGCTCTTGTTCCCCGGTACGAAATGGGAGCTGCGTTGATCAGGTTCGTACCTCACCTGGGGAGTTATATCTCAACGCGTCCGCTCTTTCTTCCATTGAACGATCTCTTGTAATATCATTGACTACTGAATTTCCTTTGTCCGATTCGGCCGCGCCGGCCGAACCTATTTCTGCTCTTCTTAAATTTCCTACTCTTGTTGATTCTGGTTCTACTGACTCTTTCATCGATACTCGTTATGTTTCACAAAATTCTATTCCTACGACCAAAATCTCTCCTGTTAATCTTCGTCTCTTTGATGGTTCATTATCTTCTAAACCCATTACCGATATGGCAAATATCGCCGTTCGGTTCCCTTCCGGCGAGCTGCTTCTCTTACCCTTTTATGTTACACATTTAGATTCATCTTGTAAAGCAGTACTAGGTTACAGTTTCTTATCCCGCTACAATCCGTTGATTGACTGGGCATCTCGAAACATTACGTTCCGTAACACTTCACACCTTGATTCTCCACAGACGTCTGTGCCTTCTGCTATCAACACCGTTGATGCAAAGGTCGCTGTTCCGCTACCGGAACTTTCGCCGTCGGTTTCACCGACAATTCTGGAGACCCCTCCTGGGGACTCACCTCGCTCTCGCTCTCGCTCCCGCTCTCGGACTTTACGGGCCAAGCCCCTTTCGTCCAAATTCCCCTTTGAACCCATCTACTCTTACCCTACGGTCTCTCAATTCGCTGCTCAACTGGAAACTCCTGAGGTCGACATTGCACTTGTCAGTGCTGCAGTCTTTAACAGGGCTTGCAAGGACGCTGGTATGGAACCCATTCTACTTTGTGCTATCCACTCAGAGGTCGCGGCCCGCGCCGCCGACCGCTCTTCCACCACTCCTACTGTCCCTCCACTCCACCCTTCTATCCCAGAAGAGTACGCAGAGTTTGCAGACGTCTTCGACGAGATTGCTGCAGATTCACTTCCTGAACACAGACCTTACGACCTGAAGAATTATAGTGATATCGTTGTGCCGATGACTCGGCTTACCCGAAAAGGCGCGTCCTGGATCTGGGACAGCAGCGCTCAAGAGGCCTTCGAAAATCTCAAGACTGCTTTTACTTCTGCGCCGATACTGGCCCATTGGGAGCCGAATCGCCCACTTATTGTGGAAACCGACGCTTCCGATTACGCCATTGCGGCCATTCTTTCCATCCAATATGCTGACGGTGAAATTCATCCTCTAGCCTTCCTTTCCAGAACGCTTCATGCGGCGGAACTCAACTACGACACCCACGACAAAGAGCTACTGGCCATCTTCGAGGCCTTTAAAGCTTGGCGTCATTATCTGGAAGGTTCGGGTGATCCGGTGGACGTCGTCACCGATCACAAGAACCTTGAGTATTTCTCTACTACCAAGGTTCTCACACGCCGACAGGTCCGATGGTCAGAATTTTTACATCAATTTAATATGGTCATTCGCTTCCGACCGGGGAAACTCGGCGAGAAACCCGATTCGATAACTAGACGCTGGGACGTCTACCCTAAAGAGGGGGATATCGGCTACGCCCAAGTGAACCCTCATAACTTTCGTCCTATCTTTACTAACGAACAACTCACTGCGTCTCTTCGAGCTACCTTCCTGGAAGGCCCAGCCTTACGAGCCTCGATTATCATGGATATCGAAGCCCTACACCAAGCTATCATTCTCGCCCTTCCCGCCGATCCGAGCTCCGTTGCTGGTTTGGAACTTGCAAAAGATCCTTCCAATGAACGTTGGAGCTTAGGTAGTGACAAGCTACTACGCCTTGACGACCGTATTTATGTCCCTAATCACGGCGATCTTCGCCTTCAAGTCCTCCGCTACTTCCATGATCATCCACTTTCCGGCCATTTCGGCCAGAACCGCACTTTAGAAGCTGTACGTCGTCAATACACCTGGCCTAAGGTCAGAGACTTTGTTCGTGACTACGTTACCTCCTGCACTATCTGTGGTCGCAATAAGCCCCGCCGTCATCGGCCTTACGGCTTGTTGAAACCTCTGCCGGTTCCGGTCCGACCATGGGATTCCATCTCCATGGACTTCATTGAGCAACTGCCAATGTCGAATGGTTACACTGCTATCCTAGTCGTTGTGGATCGATCTTCCAAGCAAGCTATATTTATTCCAACTCACGACACCATTACTTCCGAACAACTAGCTGAGCTTTTTGTTATTCACGTCTTCTCTAAGCATGGTGTCCCTAA